GGAGCAGATGCACAAGCGACTCCAGCGCGGGCGAGCCTATCCTCTTGATTCTGCCACTCCGCCTCGCTGCGGGCAGCGCCGCCGAAGCGGGGGCTGGGCGCCGCCGCATTCCACCTGACCAGCTCGTCGGTCGCCTCCATGAAGCGCTCGGCGAGGCTCTTCGTCTTCGCCGCCTCCTTCGCGGCAGCCGCCGCCGCCGCCTCCTCGCGCTGCCGCCGCTCCGCCGCCGTCGAAAGGCGCAGCCGCGAGAGTCGGAAGAAGTAATGGTCAAAAAACACATCCTCCGTGACGCGCCGGGAACCGGCGGGTGTAGCGTCGCTGGATTTTGTCGGGCTGGCGCCTTCCTGCTCCTGCTCCTGCTCCTGCTCCTGCTCCTGCTCCTGCTCCTGCTCCTGCTCCTGCTCCTGCTCCTGCTCCTGCTCCTGCTCCTGCTCCTGCTCCTGCTCCTCGTCACTCTCCGTTTCCGACGGCCCCGGTGCCGTTTTCGCCTCCGCCGCGCCTGCCTGCACCAACGCGGCGTACTTCTCGGCCACCAGTGGGTTATCGTCCAGCAGCCGCTGGCGCGACGCCGCGGCGGCCGCGGCACTTAAGCCGCTGTCTGTTGGGTCGCGTTGGCCCGGACGCGGCGCATTGGCCGAGCTGTACGCGCTGTGCCGGACCCACTCCTCGAACAACGCCTTTTCCTCCGGTTCGCGCGGCTCCTCGAGGTATACCGCGTCGTTGCCCTGCAGCGCGAGAATGGCGGCCTCGTCCAGCGGGCATTCCTGCGCAAGGCGGGACGCCTCGTCGCCGGCGAGGCAGACGTCGTGCCCCGTCACCTCCGCCGCAAGCCGCGAGACGATGTTGGCCAGTCCCCTGGTGTCCTCCATGAGACTGCTGGTGAAGTCCCCGAAATCCTTCGTAATGTTTTCAAGCCACATCGCGGGAAAATGCCAACACTGTTCGGGCCCCACGCCGTATTCTGTCGTCTCCCACTCACCCGCTCGCCGGCACACACGCGCACGCACGCTCTCTCTCTCTGTCTGTTTGCGGGGAAGATGTGTCCGCGGGTGCGTTGAACGGGCCCGTCCTCCCTCACCCCCGCGCTGTCCCTCTTCTTGTCCTCCTCTGTTGTTGTCGCCCCTTCCCCCACGCGTCTCGTGCTGCGTGCGCCAGTGCGGACCAAACTCTCCCTCGCGCTATCAACTTGCCCTGCCGCTTGTTGCTTTCTTCGCTCCTCCGCGTCCCTTCCGGTAAACCTGCGAGCACGCACGAAGGAGGGAGAAGGCGTGCGAGGAGGGAGTTCCACAGTGGGAGACAGGGAGCGAAAGAACGCGCGCGACAGCGGGAGCGGGAGGCACAGGAACAACAACCGAGAAGATATCACCGAAGAAGGAAGGAAGAAACAAGAAAGGGAAAAGAAAAAGAAAATTTTTGCCGCAGGCGGTGTTCACTCGCCGCCGTGGCCTCGCCCACCGTCGTCGCCGCCGCCACGCGTATGCGGTCCTCCTTCCTTTCCTTGCTGCCTCGGTTTCACAGAGCCTCTCACATTTTTTTCTTTTTCGTTCTTCAGAGAACTTTTTCCGCTGGGTTCAGCCGGCGCCTTGAGGCGTGCGACACCCCTCGCAGGGGAACTCCCCCCCTCGCGGCTCCGCCCCTCTTCACAGCGCGTAGGCGTACGTCGCGGCGCCGCGGCGCTCCAGAAACCCGCGGCTGATGAGTCGCTCAATGACGCACTTCATCGTCGCCATCGTGACTGGGAACCGCAGGAGCGCAGGAACCGCCGCGACGAGCTCCTCGTGGCCCACGCACCGCCGCTCCTTCATGAAGCGCACCACGGCGGCCTCGACCACGTACGCGTGCTCCTTTAGCGCTTCGGTCGCGCCCTGCACGCCGTCGGCGTTGGCCCTGTCGGCGGAGGCCTCCTCGCCGCCCTGCAGGGACCTGTAGAACGGGATGCGGCAGCGCGCGGCGCCAACCGCGAAGCGCGGATTAAACTGCAGCCGGTCTGTCGCAGCCAACGCGGACGCCGCCACCGCCGCATCAGCCGTGCCCCGCGCGGCAGCTTCACGCAGCAGGAGGGCAAACTTCGGGTGGCACAGGCTGTAGAGGGCGCCGGCAACGGAGGGAAGCGCCAGGTCCACGGCGAGCCGCTCGCACAGTGCCCCGACCGTCACCGCCGTCTCCGCCGACAACGGCGCCGCCCACATCATCTCCTGCAGGGTGAGCAGGATGGCTGCCTGCAACAGCGTCCCCGTCAGCTGCCGTCGCACGGCGCCCGTGGAGTACGTCACCACCGCCGAGGACAGTTGGTGCTGCCACACAAGTTTGCGGTCGGCGAAGCAGTGACGGTAGAAGTCCTGCACGCCGCTGGCGAGGGCCTGCAGCGGCGGCGGCAGCCGCAGCTCCAGCGCGGACTCCTTCGGCCAGAAGCCGGAAGTCAAGATGTGCAGCCGCACCTCCGCCTCCGCCTCCGGCGGCCACGGCGTGGGGGAGGCATCACGGTGGTCCTCCACCCACGCCTGGTAGCGCTCACTCAGCTCCTGCGACACGTTGAAGTCGTTCAGCATTCCCTCGAACTTTGACGTCTCCTCCCCGCACGTCTTCTTCAGCTGCTGCATGAAGCTCCGCTCGATGCCGAGGCGCGGGGGGCGCTGGTACTGCAGCAGGCGGCGCGCAAGGTCCCGCCAGTAGAACGCCTCAAAGATGTCCCGCGAGGGGAAGAGGGCGTAGATGCGCCCAATGTACTCCAGCACTTCCCCACACGGAGAGACGCCTCCGGCAGCGGCAGCTTCACTCGTCGTCGTCGTCGTCGCCGCGGCCACCCCACCCGCGTGCGGCGACCTCTCAGCACCGCCCGTGCCACTGGGGGCGGCGAGCAGGGTCTCGCTCTCCCCCTCGCGCATCAGCCAGTCGAGGTAGCGGGCAATCTGCTGCGCAAACTCGGTCTGCCGCTCCTGCATCACCTCCGCGAGGGCGTCGTTCATGCGCACCGTGAAGAGGGAGGGGTTTTCCGCGAAGCAGGCCTCAATCACGCGCTCGCCGCGGCGGATGAGCGCAATGACCGCCTTGACGGCGGCAAACCCCTCCCGCTCCGCCGTCCGCGTGGCGAGCTGCCGGATGATGGCCGCGCCCTCCTGCAGAATGTAGTGGCGGAAGATCGCGCCACACCTCTTGCCAAGCTGCACGTACATCCCGGAAGCGAGAAACTGCCAGGCTAGGCGAATGCAGTCGTACTTCTCCTCCCGCACAAGCCGCCCGAAGTCACGGGTGAGGACGTCCGCGCCGTGTGCGAGGAGCAGCGAGGTCTGGGCGATCTCCTCCAGCCTCGGCATTGTGTGGGCGTCCAGGCAGGCCTGCACGCGCCGCCGCCCCTCCCGGAGAAAGTACTGCACCTGCTGAAAGAAGTCCTCCGCGCTGTCGCCGTTGTGCCACATCCGCTCCGCCGCCGCATCGTAGAATTCCTTCGCGGTGGCAAGCACATCCGGCTCCACCCGCAGGAAGTACACCTCAATCGAGGAGCAGAGATCCGTGAAGAGCCGCAACTCCCCGCGGGCGTCGCTGTCGTGCTCGAACTCGCAACGCAGGGCGGCAAGAAACCCCAGCTGTGCCCGCGACAGGAGCCACGGGTGCTGCAGCAGCGCCTCCTTCATGATCGCAACCGCGAGCCCGTCGATCGACCGCACCGCGTGCACCTTGGCGAGGTACCAGCGATCCAGATACACCCACACCTCCTGCAGCTCCGCCACGGCCAGGCGGTAGTGGCCCCAGACATGCGCGAGACGCACAAAGGTGAAACTCCCCGCAACGTCGGCGTCGCAGGCAGACGTGAGGAGCTGCAGAATGTGCAGCACGTAGGCCTCGAGGGAGTGCTTCAGTTTTTCATAGACGGCGGCAGCGGCATCCAACTCGACAAGGGTCTGCACACTTCTGCAGGCGGCATCAGCGGAGTAGCCACGATCAGCAGCGTTCACCGGGGGAAGGCGCAGGCGCAACAAAGACGACGACGACGACGACGAGAGCGAGGCTGTCAAGAGAAACGATAGGAGTGCGGTGGATTGCTCAAAGGGCGGCGCGGCGGAGAGGACCGCCTCCGAGTGAGCGGCGGCCCGTACAAGCACGGCGTCCAGCGTCGCCACTGCGGCAGCCCATGCCTTTTCCTTTGCCGTCGCACACGCCAGCCGATGCAGCGCAGAGTCCTGCGTCAGCAGCTTCACCGTCATGCGGGGCTTCACGGGCAGAATTCCCTCCTCCCACCGGACAGCCGACGCTGGCGGGTCGTACAGCGTGTGGGACGCCATAGCGGCCGCTGCGCGCTTCCGCGCCTTTGATACCCCTTTTCTTTTCTTTTCTGCTTCCCCCCTGCCCACGTCCCACGTATCCCCTCCTTGCTCAGAAATTACTCTTTTTTTCGTTCGGTTTCCCTTTCTTTCTCTTTTGCCGCTCACCAGCTACCTCCTCCCCCCTCCTGAGCCTCTCGACTGCGGCTGCCGACTGTGAAATGCCCCCTCCCCACCTAAACTTTTTCCTGCTGGCCCGCAAAGAGAAGGACGACGCGCGAGAGAGAAAAAAAAAGGGGGGGGCATGGGGGTCACTCCTGCAGCGAGGTAAAGGGGGAGGCGTGCCTGCGAGGAAGGGGCGGAGCGGGGCAGCGGTGGTGGGCAGACACACACACGCGAGACAGACAGATAGAGAGGAAGAGAGACACAAGAAGGCGAGCGAGAAACAAAAAGAGTGAGCCGGTGTCGTAAGCAGCGCTAAGAAGAAAAAAAGAAAAAAAGAGAGAAATCAAATAAACACGCAATCGCTTGATTGCAGGTGGGAGGTTGCGACCGGGTGCCGGTGGGGGGCGGGGGCGGCGGGGGGAAGCAGCCACAGTTGACGTCGCACCGCAACTTTGTGCGCCGTGTGTGAAGCAAACAAACACACCACGTGACGCCCACCGCCCACCGGCTTCAACCCCCCCGCCCTCACTCCCCTGTAGGGCTGCCGCTGCCGCGGCCCCTGCTGCTTTTCGCCCCTTCCCTCCCTCTCGCCTACCGCGCGGAACGTCAGAGGCGGCAGCTGCGCCTTCTCCCCCCCTCTCCGCCCTCAGGAGATTCACATATATATATATATATATATATA